ATAAGCTAGTGATTAAAAAATTTATTGACACAATATGAAGACATTGTACATATATGTGGAAAGAGAAAATTCTCCAAGATTTGTATTTTTTGTTTCTATAAGAGTTTATAAAATAGAAAAGAATCAAATACTAAAATTTACATACGTGACAGATAAAATAGAGTTATTGGTGTCGGCACATAATTTTCATCAAATACCTAATTGAGGAGATTTAGGGTAAGAAAAGAAGGATTGTGTTTGCCTTAAGAGTAGGAGGCCATCTTTGTTTTGTATAAAAGTGTATAGATATAATTTATTTAGATCAGTGATGACGTCATTTTAGATTCTATTATAACAAAGCCGGAATTTTTTTTTCATGTTTTCCAAGGAAAATAACGATACATATATTCGGTCATATCTCACACCATATAATTTTCATCAGTATCAACGCAGGCTTCCACATATTCTCCCACACATTCATGGACTCACAAAAAGTTGTAGTCATCCTTGTGTAATTCATTATACACATACTTTATTTGGGTAAAAGCATTTTAATCTTTTGCTTATTTCAATATTCAAATTAACAATTATGTACCAACAATTTGATGATATGATATCATACTTATACGTATAAATACAATATTCTCTTGAGTTCCTTAGTAGCACAATAGAGACAACAGTCAATTATTATGTACGATATTTTTCATAAAAAGATTTTCTCGATCATAATATGATTTGTTTAAACCCATATAACATTATTTTAGAATTTATTATGATAAATTCGTTTTTTCAAGTTCATTTTTATAAAACAATGATAATATATATTCTTTCTTGCCCGGTATAATTGCCATCCGGTGTTAATAGAGGCTGCCAAGACGAAAAGAAAAATAGATGAGAATAGGAGTGAACATCAATCCATATGATTTGGTTTGCGATTTAATATGATGAATTTGAAATGAAATGAATCCAAATTGGGCTCAAAGTAGACAAGATCAAATCGAATTGGACCATCGATCTAAAATGAATTTCGAGTTTCTTACTTTTAAGTGCTTGAATGTCTATAGTATGTTTGTGCAGCTAATAACTCAATGCAATCCCGAGATTAACATTAGATGTTTCGAAAAGGATCTTATTCACAAATATTATAAATAGACTAAACAGGATCTTGAGTGGGGTACATGACAGAGTAGCAGTAACCACCAATTTATGGTGATGGGAGTGAGGGGAGATCAATTGGTTTCAATCCCTTCTCGACTTTAACAGGACTTAAGGCGATAATTATTTCGTGTAAAATAAATACAACGAAAAATATTTTTTCGTAAATAATCGTTTGTCATCATGTGAAATATAGTCAATGAAAAATATTTTTATTATCAAAAATAATTTATGTCCAAATATTTTCATGGACAATGAATATATATATTTTTCGCTTATGAATTTTTATAAATGATACGGGCGATCATTTTAAGGAAATTTTTTTAAAATAATTGATTTTTCGCGAAACAAGCAGAGACTAAAATGAGTTCCCAGATAGAATCTCTTAAACATTCTTATTGATTATTTTCAAATTTTGGGTCTTATTAGTGTAAAAACTCCGAAATGGTGAACATTCTTTTATTGCTTTTATGTATCTTTAGTTAACTTTAGAGTAAACCAATTAGTAGAAATACATGAACGTAAGCACAACTTCAAGTGCTCCGTAGACATAATAGTCAAAAAGTTTTTTTTTTATTTCGTGCAATAAAAGTTGGCATATGGGGGAAGCACACTATGAGAGTAACAATTCAATATATAAAAAAGATTTTTTTAGGGAAATAGATAAAAATACAACGAAGAATATTGGAGAACGATTAAAAAAATGGCCAATAACTAAGATTCCGTTTATTTCTCGAAAAATGAATGACTTGGAAAATATTTTCTAAAAAATGATCGTTTGTATCACTTGAAATAATTAACCAATGAGTAATGTTTTCATTATTGACAACAAATTTATGTCTAATCAATATCATAGACAATGAAAATATTATTTCATTCATTCATTTTTGTAAATGATTCAAGCGATTAATTTTAGGAAAGTATTTTTTAAATCATTCATTTTTCCACTAAACAAACGCACTCTAAGTTGATAGGAGACATAGTCCCAGGTATTAATAGAAAGTCACCGAGAATCACTTAGGTTGCAATGAAAGTTATATGCATACTTGCCCGAAAATGTATAGTTTAGAGCTCGAACGGTCGATTACACGTGAGGAAGGGTAAGCAATCTCGTTACACCTTTTCAATACAACAAATTTTGTCGACAATTAAGTTCTAAATTAATTCGTTATTTAATTTCTCAAGTGCAAATTAATCATATGAACGGTATTGAATTTTTATTCTTATATCAAACACTTCATATTTTAGAAGACAACTAATTATTATATGTAATGCATTTCGAATTCCCTATAATACTTTGGCATTTAAATATACTCTTCCCTATGGTAAGTAAATATTTTGGTTTGATACAAAAACTAAGCCAAGCATACAAGTCACTTTATGCAATAAACTCGAGAAAACTCCTTAAAAGAGAGTCGCAAAACTACATGAATGGTGAAAATTGAAATAACTTCAAACAACCTTTTCTAGAGAACTCCTTTATTAAAGAAAGGAAATGTGAATATTCTACAATGAAGATGGAAATAAACATAGATGTGAACAGTATAAAGTGCAACTTGTAATTTCATCAATAAAAGTAATTAAATTCTTATTCCGAATATAAAAAACGAAGAAAACAAGGAAATGAGGGATTGAGAGAGTGACGCATGTCCACCCGAAAATGCTCATTTAATCTATTTTTGTTGATGCCCTCACGATACTTTTTAGTTTCGTCTCAAGTGCACTTTGATCGATGAATATGTACGGCGATGGTTACCTAAAATGACACGAAATAAATGCCGTAAAGTACTTAACTTCAAAAGATTTCCACATTCGGTGGCGTGCCATCCATACATTAAATGAGTTGTACCAATGATTTTATTATTGGGCCTGCATATCGAATTCGGTTATTAAAGTGAAAAAGGATGGACCTCCACCTAAGTTCAGAATTGAAAGTGATCATGCAACACGTTGCTGTCCAGAGCAAGAAATGATTTGAATCAATGATGGAAGGACAGTGCAATATGAGCTATCCTTGTCGTAAAGCCAGATGCTAATACCCAGATTAGCATTTGCATTTCCACTAATCGTTAAGGAAAAGTAATGGAAGATGGAGTTGCCGTTGGCTAAGAATCACTTCCCGCCATACAATTTAGCCCTCTCAGACTCTATCAAAGTAAACACACGAAAAATAGAACGGTCTAATATCTTAATGTAATAATAATAATCATTGTGTCTCGTCATTTAAAGAAGTAATATAAGAAAAAAAAAAGTGCTTCTCGAGACAATTCAAGCCCGACATGCTTTGGACCTTTATATGCACTTCACCTTTGTCCCTCAAACCTATGAGCTTGTCTCACCGAATTTTTAGGACTTAGTTCCTCCTTGTTAACTTGTCGAAATAGGTAAAAACATCCAACTAGCTATTTCGATGCACCACTACATCTCCCAATTTGTCAAAATTAGTCATGTTAACATGTACTTTGCCACAGGCTTATGGATAATTTTAGGTTAAGTATAAGTTTGAAGAATATCCTTATATTTAAAATATCTTTCCTCGCCTTTCTAGCCTTTCTAGTATGCTCTAAACAACAATTGATCCCCACTTAGTAACCCCGAAAACAATATTCAACACTTCTTAGACATATATAAAAGTAATTTTAATCTGAAGACTATTGAGACGCACATTAAAGGTGCACGTACTTAGTATCTTCTTGTCATCATCGTGATTATTGCGGGTCTAACCACCGAAGCCTTTCATCTCCCAACATCTGTCAAAAGTCCCCATCATGCTCTTAATTAGACCGAAGAAGGACGATCCCTCAATTCACGAAAGAAGTACGTCCTGTCCCCTATCTTCCGTCGTCGAGAGTATCATTTGATTAAAGAATTCCTCAAGTCCCCTATCTTCATAGACATAAATACAAGCATTTTTACTTTGGAGATCATTGAGACGCACAAGAAAGGTGCACTTACTAAGCATCTTCTTGTCATGATCGGGATTGTCGCGGGTCTAACCACCGAAGCCTTTCATTGCCCAACGTGCTCTTAATTAGACCAAAGAAGGACGATCCCTAAAGTCAAGAAAGAAGGACATCTCATCCCCTAATCTTTCCCTTCTCATCTTTGATGATCAAAAAGATTGAGGCATTTCTAGCTAGTTGTCCAATTTCTTTGCACAAAATTGCTACTTCGGTTTAGGGATACTTTGATTGTTTGCACTTTCGTTAAACCATGCTCAATTCTCGGATGATTATTAAGACATGCTAATTAAACAAAACGATTGGGACAAAAGTGTACACAACAGGAATACTCAACAAAGTAATTAAACACTTTCAACTTCCGCAACTGATGCCAGTGTCAAAATTTTCTGAAGTTATTTCCTTACATGGCGAGAGATCAATCGAAAGCCGAGGTAACCATAGCTGCATCAAGTACAAAAGCAGATACAAGAATGTTACCATGGAAACATGGAATCGATGGATCTGGAGAGACGGGTTTAAATGTACAGATGGATCAAACAGTCTGCGATAGAAGAAGAAACTTGACAGCTGACTTATTGAAGCATCGTCTCTTGCTTACTTACCTTTAAATTTCATCCTCTGATTAGATGCTCATTTTTATTTCATTCTTTGATGGGTAAAATCATCAATTAGATACTCATATTACCATCTCGCTCTTATTATTTTTATCGAATGAAAGCAAGAGGATAAGTACTCCGCATGGTTGGCTGAGAATGATCTAAACCAACATGGAGGCTAGAACAGAACGTAAGCTCCATAACAGTGAAGTGTCTGACCGACCCTGCATCTGTGTGTTCCTCTTTTGCTTTTCTGGTGCCCGGCTAACATTGTACTCGATTTACAATTACCAGTTAAATGTGCATGTTCTACTGTAATAATCGAAATTCTATTTATAGTTGTCTACAGGATAGGTTCCTGTTATGATAAATAAGAACATTACATTAAGTCATAACAGACCTTTTATCCAGAAGCAGAAAATGAAGGGCACCATATGGGCAGATCATAATAATAAGACAGCCCTTCACTTACATTGGCAAGAACAAGGAAGAAGATCCTCCATGCATGCAGTTCTTTCCGAAACCTGGCCACCAAGGCACAAACTGTTTGTCATATCTAAGACAAGTGCCTCCACAATGCCGGGCGATCTCTCGATATAAGGAGAGCACGTGAGGACAGATGGTCGAAAGAAGGCGAGTACAAGTCATCTGGACCGATGACTTCTCTGACATTTTGTGTGCTTCCCCCCCCAAGAGTGTGCAATGCTTCATCCTTCTCAGCATCAAACACAAACAGTCCTTGCCCACTTACCCCCACGACCAGGTTGGAGTTGCCCCAAACTTGAGTTATTGCCACGTGATCGGAGTGTAAGTTTGACTCTGGCAAAGTATAAGTGCTGAATAGGCCTTGTTTGCGCAAGGAGAACTGTTGCACCTGTATGCAGCTCAGTTTCCTTCCTACCGATTTTAGGCTTGTGCAGCCCAGAAAAATAGAATCACCACGAGAGAAGACTGACTGCACGCTGATCCCGAGCTTTTGTATCTTGAGTCCCACGCCAGATGGATGGCGGAAGTCCATGATATTAATTGAATCGGCGCTGCAGTATATGCCATCATTGCCCTCAGCTTCCGATGAACTGACTCTGCACTCAAGACACGGAAAGTCGTAAGAGACTATGGAATGAAAACCTTCAAATGGGGATTCATAGATAGTATCAAATACCAGAATCATGCATCCTTTATTTCAAACAAATATTACAGCTATAGCAGAAAAGCAACACAAAAATCAGGAAGAGAGATGCAGTGCAGTCAGTATGAAGAGGTGCCGATGTAGATGATACGAAAATCCAGTCAACTTGCACAAGAATAACTACATTTAGGATATTGTTAACAGGGATAGAGACTTAAATTGTCTAGGAGCATTTACCTTTGTCGAACCCCTCCACCAATTTCAGCATCAGTGTTGTTAATGTGAAGGGCTGATATTTTTCGTCCAGAGGAAGGCACAGAAAGTAATGGTTGCGCGTTAGGAGAATTCACATCCCATAGAGAAATTGTCTCAGCTTCGGCTATAACAACTTTCCCTCTGTTTCTCCATTGCAAAGGACTCGAATAGTCCATTGCTAACACAGGTTTCTGCACCTCCCATTTCATAATTTGCTCTCCATCCCGGATATCATAGACTCGGACACCCTTCTGGCAGGTGGCTGTTGAGATAATTAAAGGTCCACATGGCTTATACCACCATAGCTGATTTTCTGGGACCATAATACTAGACAGAGCACTTCTTCTATACAAAGTGTCACTGTGTAAAGGGCCAAGTACTGTTCTCGAAGAAGTTACAGCACCACCTTCCTCAACATGGCAAGCTCGAACATCTTTGGTGTAGAAATCCCAGGAGCAAAACCCCGCATCCATCATATTTCCAGCAGAGGCTGCAACAACATACCTCCCTGAACACCCATCTGCACCAGGAGCACGGATAATCCAACAATCCCTCCATATGTTAGGTGAGATTGCCATGGAGGGCTTGTATACAGCTTTCTCCTGCAAAATCTCAAACCATTAGAGGCACATTAGATCTATTTTCTGTTTTCTTTCCACCAGATCCCATTTATATCCTGCGGTTGACACTTGTCAACAATGATGGTACTCATGGATGAATGAGCCTCTTTTGCCAGGTTAAGGGGATTGAGCATGCAATTTTCACAAAAAATGATCTCTAATGATAAAGAAATCTTCACAACCTATGGTGAGACCTTCATTTATTTCAATAAACGAAGTAAAATAAAACAGCCGCATATCTCTTGATATAGTTAATCCTCAAATGATGAAGTTCCTGGTAGTCATAGTTGCTTATTGTGGCACTATCTTTACCACTGATTAAATGCAGCCAGCATTAATTTCATCTTTTCTTCCTCATGCACAGTTGATTAACTACCAGTGAACTATAGACATCATGAAAGAATGCAACCAGCTGTTATTCAAGAATGACCAACCAAAGACCCAATAATAAAAGCCAACACAAATTTAAGAAGAAATTCACTCGACAGTCACCTTGCTCTATAAGTAAATTCAAGTATATGGAACTTACTAAAAGGGAAACAGTCACCTTGCCTATAAGTAAATTCAAATATATGAGTACAGTTTTTTATCACTAAAAATGCAAAAGCACACCAAGTGTAAAGATTATTAGTCAATTAACAAGGTTTGACACCCAAGTAGTAGTGAATGCATATTGACAAAAGCTCACTTAGCGACATACGCTTCTCTGGAGTGTGTAATCCCAACATCTAACATTTGAAACACACGTAAACATGCTCCTCAGGACATTGTGGCAATGAGGCATAAACTCTCAGCTAAATTATCATGAGAGCAAAGCGAATAACATACCTCCGAATTGGTAATATCATAGTAGGAACATGAGCCATCATCATGAGCAAGGAGAACTGCCTCTCCCTCTGACACAAACCAACCTCCAGTGGAGGCCTTGCTGCCGATCTCATGCAGTTGATAAGCATAAGTGTCTTCATTCTCCTCTCCAATTATAAGCCTCTGACTGTTCTCCTGATCATCAAATTCATCAAGCTTTTCATCAGCCGTAAGAATTATCTCCGGTTCGGCCTTCCCGTCAACAAATTTCTCTTCTACTGCTGAAGTTGCAACACCATCCATCTCTTGAACCCCACAGATCTCCATGTCAGACTTCTGATCCCTGATGGTGATCATAGATTGCTCCTCATCCAATGAAGCCAAAAACTCCAAAGCTATCGGGTTGTCATCAGGGTTCAATTTCTCTTCCACCTTTGACATAGAATTAGCCTCAGAAGTATTCATCCCAAGCACTCCTGCTTCACTTGATGACCGTGTGCTTGCTATCGCTGCCTTCACAGAGGTTCTACTTTTTAGCAGCTTGTGATGAGGAAAAAGTCGAGCTTCTAATTCCTCACTATTCAAAACTTTAACTGAACATTTTGAGCTACTCTTCTTCTCAACCTGAATCTCGCCGACCGATTTATCACTCTCAAGGACAGCATTTGCAGTGTTCTTTACAGCAGCCATCTTACCATTAGAGTCACCTATTGCATGACCAATCACCTTTTCAATCCCTGAAATCTTTTCCTGGATATCTGAAAGTATGACTTTCGACTCATCTGGGTTATTCAAATCCAATATCTCCTTAGTCCTCTTAATATCCGAAGCGATCCTCTTAACCTTACCTTCTAAAAAAGCAAGCTTTTCATGCAGCCTACTCTGATACTTGTTACCCGCTTGACCATTAACAGCTTCGGAGCTCATCCCCTTCTCCACCCCTGAACTGCTCAAACATTTCGCACTCGCATTTCCAGTCATTTCACTGGCAACACCAGATGAGGATGCCAAATTAGCATTTGTTCCCTCTTCTGATTTCTTATCCACTGATAGTTCATGCAAAGGTTGACCACTTAGATCAACACTAACCTCTTCAGCGCTCACCTCTTCAGCGCGACCCTTCAAATCTAACTGAGCATCTACCTCGCTCGACTTGACCAAACTTTCAGAATCAACGGACACTTCTCCATTCATTTTATGTACATTCCTTCCCTTCACTCCTACTTTCGCAATCGATGATTGCTCACAAGTCCCGCCCTTCTTCACCTTATCCTTCAAATCCCTCAAAATCCTATACCCGCCGCCGCCCCCGCCGCTCTCCTCCCTCGATTTCGCCCCCGCCTCCCTAATCCCTCTCTTCTCCTTCTTCTCCGCCTCCCGCCCCTCCAGCGAAACCCTAGGCAACACCTTCTCCTTCTTCCCGTCCGACCCGACCCGCCCACCGAAAGGGCTGGGGCTCCGCCCCCTCGGCACCGACGGCCACCGGGCCCCCTCGCTCGACACGCGCGGCGGCACGGCGCGCGGCTTGGGCTTCTGCGCCGACGCCAGCGGAGCCCTGGGGCCGGGCTTGGAGCCGGCGCCGGTGCCGGAATTCTCCTTCCCGGGGGCCGATCTGGCGCCGGAGAGCGGGGTCAGGGGCTTACCTGTCCTGGGAGCGGCGTCCTTGGCGCCGGCGCCGCCGCGGTCCTTGATCCGGCGAGCCGACGGCGCGGACATTTGATGCAGAACGCAGGGAGAGGGGAAAAGCTGAGGTTGGGGTTTTGGAGGTTCCCGAAGAAGATGAGAATCGATGCAGATTTCAAAGAATTTCATTTTATTTTTCAGTTCTTTTATTTTTTTTGGGTTTTTTGGGCGGGAAACGGATGAGTTTTCGATTTTTGAAATATTTGGTGACGTGGAATCGGACGGAGCGAGTGGGCCTCGGGGCTTTTTCCGTAATTTCGCAGGAGTCTGAGGACTGGGGAGAAAAGAGGAAGGTGTTGGGCCGAAAGTGGAAAATAAAGGAAAGGAGAGGGGCCCGGGAAATTTTCTACGGGCCGAGATTTTCTGTTTTTTTTTTTTTTCTCTTTTTCTGTTTTCTATTGGTTGAATTACAAAACAGAAGGAGAAAATATTAATAAATTAGTAATAAAACCGAAATTGGAGAATACAAGTGCTAAAGTAAAAGAGCAGAATTGGTAACATTCTGAATTTTTACTCGGGTACTTTTCTTCCCCGTAATCACTTTCTTAATTGACGTACGCATTTGGCGACTTTTTTCTGAGTTAATGGAATCTTTCCGACTCAGAACTAATTAGTGTTGCTAAGCTCGCTCGAGTACACAAGTTTTGAATATTCTAATTTACAGGAATTAACTGGGTTATCAAATAGCAATATGTAGATAAGTAGGAGTACTTGCGCTCGATGTTTGCAAGCAAAGCTATCCTCCATGAATGCGTGGCGCTATACCTAAATCTAACCACATTTTGAGGAACGATATTGTTAATCGGTATATGGTAGATGCATGTGACATGCCTTTCCCTGTTTTTGTGAGATCAATAACCATGGAAAGATCAAATTATTTAGTAACTTTGTGCCTACCAAACATACAATATAAGTTGAGTTGTCTTACTTCGTAGTTGTTTTTTAAATTTTGTAATTTATGTATTTTCGATCATACATGTTTTAAGTAGTAAATTTTTTAAAGGTGTTCGGCAAACGCCTCAACAACTGCATGACTTACAAAGCCGCGGCAGTTCATAGCAGCTTTTAGGAAGTCGACTCACATACACCTTTGAAGTGCTGTAACTTTAAAACGTGAATTATCAAACATATGAGTCGTAGCACTTAATAGCACAATCACAACATGGTGGGGCTACAATTATGCCAAACGAAAAACCAAGTTTAGTCCTTCATTGTGAAGAAAGACAGTACTTTTAATAGTTGTTGAATTACCATTCAAATACTTGCAATTGCAATTTTGCCAAACGATTAAAAAAAAAGTTGCTTCAATTTAGATACCGAAAATTGAACACTCTTTGCTTTCGATAAGAATATTTTTAAAATCCAAGCCACGAAGAAAAAAGGACCAAGCTATAAATCCACTCAATAGATCAAATGCTTTTAGGGAAAGAAAGAAGGGGAAAAAAGAGTTTAAATGCTTGAAAAAGAAACAAAATTAATTGTAAATGAGGGATTTTAACGCGGAAAATGTCGTGTTTATATCATCTTTCACATTCATTTTGGTTGAACTTGGATCGCCATTCTTGTAACAACCCGAATTTCGATGTAATTCCGGGATCAATAAAATTGACATTATTTCGCATTTCATTTTAGTAAGTCTCGCCCAGAGCTGATCACTCTAGGGATACTAACCAATAGGGTAAGGCTAATTAGAAAGCGGTACGTGGACCAAGAATCCGATCGTGAAGCGGACGCCGATCACGAGAAATGATGAGAGAATATTATGAACCAATGTGGATCGATCTTAGGAAAGGTGACGGATTTGGTTTGGCCAAAGCCAACGATGTACAATCAGATCGCAGGTGATTCTGCATGACCGAGAGTGCACGTGGCCAACCAGTCCTGAACTTAAACCGGACGATCATGACTTCTAGGACTAGTGATAATTTCTCATTCTCTCAATGATCGGACCGTTATGACTCGGATAACCCTAGGTCGATACGCGTAACCTCTAAACAGCCGCCCATTAGTGAAAGACCCTGAAATTGGAAATTGAGCGAGTTTTGATCACGAAATTGGGCCCGGATTTCGATGTTGATTTTCGATGGCTTAAGAGACTATTTTTGGGAATTTGACGTCATATTATGCTGGCCACGCATATTTCGAGTTAGTATGGTTGAAAATTAGAATTTCGGTCCGGGGGTGAAAAATTACGATTTTGCCCCTCGGGACACCGACTTGGATTTTGAGGCCGTATGAGGTTATTTTTCGAAGCCGATGTCATTTTGGGGTGGCCACGCACATTTAGAGTGGTTTCGGTCAAAAATTGGAATTTTGGCTCGGAAGTAAAAAATAATATTATTTTATTCCCAGAACTTGGCAGTCGATTTTCAAGGGCTTAAGAAGCTATTTTCGCGATTCCGACGCCATATTATGTTGGCCACACTCATTTGGGATTGATATAGCCAAAAATTGGAATTTCGCCCCGGGACCGGAAAAATGACCGTTTTGCCCCTAGGTCGTTTTCAGTTCCGAATTTTTGGGAAAATATTTGGGATAATTAAGAGTACTTATCAGCTACATTATTGAGGCTAAAGACCATTTTGCCCATCAATTATTGGGCTGGAACGAACGTCGGCCGTCGGATTAGAGGTATTTTGGTCAAATGGCCCGGATCGGCGACAAGTGGCACTTTTGGGCTGATACTTTTGACTGGTCTGACCAGCCCTCTCTCTCTCTCCTCCCCCATTCAGCCAGTCCCACCGTTCAGCAGCCCCTTCTCCTCCACGTTTCCTCCTCCTCCGCCCGTCCTCCTCTTGGTCGCCGTCCGTACGCCGGAGCACCGCCGGAGCCGCCGTTCGCCGGAGCTGCTGGACGCCGGCGCAGCCTAGTCTCACCCTCATCCCGTCCGTTCTCTCTCTCCCTCATCCCCGTTCTCTCTCTCTCTCTCTCTCTCTCTCTCTCTCTCTCTCTCTCTCTCTCTCTCTCTCTCTCTCTCTTTCCGTCCGGCCAAAGGACCGCCGGAGCTTCGCCGCCGCCGCACCGGAGCCTGATCGGCCGAGCTGCTGCCGCCGCGACCCCCAGCCCGTCCGTACATCCCCCCGTATGTCACTGTCCGTACAGTGTCCCCGTACGGTTCCGTACAGTGTCCGTACGTCATCCGTACCGCCGTCGTCGGGAACGCCGCCGCCGGTTCCACTGTTCATCAGTGATCGGCCGCCATTCCTCGTCATCGTGGCCTAGAATTAAGTGAGTGTATTTCCTAAACCCAGATTAGGACTGATAGTGCATTTTCTGGACTAGGTTGAGTATTGTCGGTGTATATTGGGAAAAATTAGAGCACCATTTGGTGAGGTATATTACTAAAATAATATTGGTGATTTATTGGGCGAGCATGGATTAGTTGAGGATTAAGTGACTGGACTGCCGGGTATGCCCGGGCTGAACGACTTGTTGATTGCTGTGCCCAATGGTGGGAATTGACTAATGCCATGTCGTGTGACTGAGTGGCCGATCAATGCGGAGTGTGATTGGCCAATTGATGGCATGAATTTGATTGGATGCCTGAAATTGTTGTTGCTCATGGTGTATTGTACTGCATTGCATGGCCACGCATTTCGAATGCCGAGAATGAGGCGTGTAATGAAATTGTGTGAGAATGCGTGCCTGCCATGAGCATGTGATCACTAATTATGCCCTGATGCGTTTTACGCGGGGTTCAGATAATAATGGCAGTGTGTGTATGTGTGATCACAATTCGCCCTGATGCGTGTTACGCGGGGTATGCCGTCCCCATGCACTTTGAAGCAGGACAATGCCCAGTTCGTCCGGAAGACGACCATCCTGATGCGTTTTACACGGACTCTGGTTCGTGAGGAGATCAGTGTTGCGCCTCATGCACTTTGAAGCAGGCAAGAGACACTGGGCCAGATCGGTGTTGCGTCTCATGCACTTTGAAGCAGGCTAGACACACCGGGCCGGGAATGGTGCTGACTCGAGTCGTAATAAATATTAACAATTAAGACAGTGTGCAGTGTGAATTGAAACGGGAGCATAGCATAACATTGACACCACATGCATAGAATGCGTGACCCGGCATGCGAAATGAACACCGTAAACATGAGCATGAGTGTGGCGCACGTGTGACCATTGTATTCGCGCACGTATCTTGAGAATTTTAATGAACTGCCTAACCTGCAGGGTAATTCTTATGTTCCATTCGGGCCCGAGGGCCCAGGTTATTGTTTGCGTATTATGTTGTTTTGCCTGTCAGGAGATTGCATGTTAGCCTAACCTAGGTTTAGGGGTTATACTCATTGAGATTCGTCTCACGGTTGTAATAACCCACTTTTTCAGACCCCCAGCCATAAGAATGCCGAATCCGCCGCTTTTTGGAATACCTGTACAGATACATCAGTATACAAGTACATACCCTGCAGGAAATGGGGAATCTTATGTAAGATACCCATCCATGGTGTTTGTAAACGTGGGAGAGTATTTTCATCAAACTCAGGAGTATGTGGCTTGGTGCCTAAGAGATGCCGACGGAAACCTAGGGCAACCCCTTAGGACTTTTGATGCGCCAATCGGTCAAAATGGATTGATGGAACCCATATATGCGGATGGCGAGGTGATCAATCCTCAGGATGTTTACAATGTAGATGGCGTTGATGAGCCTATGAATGGGGAGCCACAAGAGCCACAGGTGATAGCTGAAGACCAAGACCAAGTTGCCGAGGAAGAAGACGAGCTGGAGGACATGGATCTGGATTCTGATGAAGACCATGGAGAGGTAGCTGAGGTAGGGTCAGACGTGGAGATAGGATCTGACGAAGAGCTGGGAGTGGACGACGATCTCTACCTAGATCCAGAGTTAGAGCAAGACTCTGAAGACGAGCGAGCCCAAGCCGAAGATATGGATTCTGAACCGTCCGAGTCTTCAGAGAATCCTTCCGAGGAGCCGTCGGATGACACTACTGGATCTTCCGACCCTGAGTGGAAACCCTAGGTTTATCCTGAACCGTAGATAGTAGTGAGGGCTGGTAACTTTTTGACTGGAGCCCTTTCTTTGAGTCAGTCTGACCTCCCTAGCCACTTCCTTTTTTGACCCCGTGGCATGCTG